CAAGAAAACCTCTAAAACATGCAGGATAGCGGCCCTCGAGGACAGGAGTTTGACACCCCTGCTCTATAGACATAGAGCTGTAACTAGAAGGTATCACCTTAGGAAGATGCGCAGAGTTAGGGTGCAAAACCACTTTAGAGTCATTAGTAGAAAACTGGATACAGGAGGGGTTCACTGACAGAGCGTGGAGGTCCCCGACCTGTTTAGCTGAAGCTAAAGCCAGAAGCAAAGCAACTTTATATGAAAGAAACTTCAACTCTAAAGACTCTAGAGGCTCAAATGGAGGGTCGCAGAGAGCCTCAAGAACCACAGTGAGGTCCCAACAGGGAATACTGGGTTTAATAGCAGGCCGTAGCTTACGAACCCCTTTCAGAAAACGCATGGCTAAAGGATGTGCACCAGGTGTGACTCCATCAAAACCTACATGGCAAGCAGAAATGGCTGCTAAGTAGGCTTTAATTGTGGAGAAGGAGAGCCCTTTATCCAGTAGCTCCTGAAGAAATGTTAAAACATCTCCTATTGCGCACTGAAAATGGTCCAGGTGCCCGTTCTTACACCATCGCTCAAAAGCTTGCCACTTATAGGAATATAATCCTCTAGTGGATGAAGGTCTTGTGTTTTGGATAGTTGCTATTACTGCTGGAGAAAGGCCTTTGGCTAATAAGCTGGACCTTTCAGCAGGTAAGCAWGCAGCTGGGTGTCAGTGAAAAATCTTGCCAAAGTTGCCAGAGTTGAGCTGCTAGCAAGCTGATTATCTCGGCTGGGGTGCCACTAGGATCAAAGACAGGCTCTGTCCTCGCACCCTCTCTAGTACAAGTGGTATCATTTCCACTGGGGGAAACGCATACAGAAGTACATCGGGCCAAGGATGAGCTAGGGCGTCCACTCCCAGAGGAGCAATCTGCTCTGTCATGGAAAAGAACAGAGGACAGTGTGTGTTTGCTCTGGAGGCAAACAGATCTAATGTCGCTTTGCCAAACAAAACCCAAATCTGGGTCACCACAGTGGGATGCAGCCTCCACTCCTTTGCTAGAGGTCCACCCCTGGAGAGGAGGTCTGGACTTAGGTACAGTCTCCCCGGAACATGAATGGCTCTGATAGACAGAAAATGAACACTGCTCCACTGTAAAAAAAGTGTGAGACAGGTTCAGCAGGGGAAGGGACCGAGTCCCCCCTTGTCTGTTTATATGAGACCACTGCTGTGTTGTCGGTTCTGATTAGAAGATGATGGTTCTCCAGAACTGGAAAAAATGTTTCAGTGCTAACAGGACTGCTAACAATTCTAGGCAGTTTATGTGGAGTCTGGACTGTTGTGGAGTCCAGGTTCCCCTCACCGYCGCGCCGTCACACAGGGCTCCCCAACCTTTCAGGGAGGCGTCTGTGGACACCACTTAGCGAAACGACAACCTCTCTATTGGAGAACCCCGATACAGGAGRCYGGGTTCCCTCCAGGGGCTGAGAGCCRTCATGCARGAAGCAGTTRTTGTTAGCTTTTTGTGTCTGTGTCKAGAYGGACACAGCCTGTGGGACTGAGACCAACGCTGAAAACGGCGCATTTTTAACAGCCCGAGTGGTACTACTGAAATCATAGAAGCCATCATTCCCAGTAACTGTAGTACTGTTTTTAAGCACAGTTTGCGTCCCAGTTGAAACTGAGCTAAGCAGCGGTGAAACGCGGCCGCTCTGTTTTCTGAGAGGCGAGCCCTGCTTGACAAGGAACAGATTTCTAGTCCGAGGAACGAAAACTTCTGACTTAGTGTTAATAGACTTTTCTGGGTGTTTACTAAAAWCYCTAAAGCCTGAAWGTGTGACAGAACCTGAGACAGCTGATCTAAGGTTTGCTCCTTGGAGCTTGCGATCAGAGCCCAGTCGTCTAAATATGCTAACGGACGGACCCCCGTTTCCCTGAGGGGAGTCAACACAGCTTCTACGCACTTTGAAAAGGTGTGAGGAGCTAGAGATAAACCGAACGGTAGCACCAGATACTCATAGGCTACATCCTCGAAGGCGAACCTGAGATATTTTCTGTGCTCCAGGTGAATCGCTATGTGAAAATAGGCGTCTGTTAAATTGATGGTCGYAAAYCAATCGYYCGGKCTGATCRAGKGAATTAGCTGTTTGAGCGTTAACATTTTGAACCTGTATGTTTGAAGGTACCGGTTTAACACTCTCAGATCCAAAATAGGCTGCAGGCCGCCCCCTTTCTTTGGAACAAGAAAATAACGGCTGTACAGACCTTTTTGTGTTTCTGCAGCTGGAACCACTTGAATAGCTCTCTTTGTTAGCAACGTGCAAATTTCCTCTCTTAAAATGGCGGCTGCCTCGTTTGTCACCACTGTGTTTACAATGGCCCGAAAGCGAGGCGGCCTGACGYGGAACTGCAGCCTGTAACCCATAGCAACAGTTCTTTGTACCCATGGAGAGGGTGCGCATGTGCGCCAGAGAGGGAGTCGCGTTGCTAAGCGACCGACTTGCCTTACTGTTGGAGATGTGTTGGTGCCGCCCTCCACTGGATGGGGAAGGGACAACATTACTGACTGTCGCCCGCAGTTTATTGTGTTCGTTTGTGCACAAAGATAATTCTTTAATGACACATTGAAAACATTTGCAGAACTGTTTATTAAAGTTTTGCATTTTAAAACACAATTAGCACCCAGGGAGGGGGCTACATGTTTTTTTTTTTTGTTTATTTTTCGGGACATTAACAGAGGAGATTGAACATTTGAAATCCGACGCCTCTTAGGGCCGTTTTCTGAAACACAAACATTTAAATGTCTTTTCAACTGCAGCTGAACATTGTCTCTCTGTTTTTGAAGTCCCTGTGAAGACAGTCCTGCTGTTAGGAGGACTTTGACTTCTTCTTCCAAGCCGCTGAACTGTCCTGCTRACTCRGAGGGGGGCCTYTGCTCCATGCCGAGCTGGGAGGTACGATGGGCTGGGCCTTTGAAGTCCCAGGCATCGCCGCCTTCTTGAACGGAGGAGGATGAGACGCAGACCTGGATGTGCTTGGGGCCTTGGGCCTCGCATCGCATCTGGGAATGATGCAGCGAAGTGCCTCAACCTGCTTTTTCCTCTGTTCAAATTTGGTTTGGATGACGTCAAGCGCTTGACCAAACAGTCCTGTAGGCGTTATCAGTTCATCCAAGTAGGCCGCTCTGTCATTGCCGGGAAAGTCTGAGAGCGTTAGCCACAGGTGCCTCTGCACCACCACAGTAGAAGCCATTCCTTTCCCCAGAGCCAGCGCTGCACAGCGGGACACATGCAGGATGTGGTCTGATGCCAGTCTGATCTCGTTCAGCAGGGGTAAAAGGGGTTTTTCCTGCGGCATCTGAGCTGCCAGTTCAGCCAAGGCCATGGCCTGGTAGG